CTTTTTTTATGGGCTTTTTGCATTTGAGAATCGAAAAGTGGATTGCAGACCAATTGGTAATAAATACTGAACATGGTTTTAAAGCAGCAGACCTGCGTTTAGGAGAAGTAAAAAGAGGGCTTTTGCTTCTGTATTTACAAGATGTTTTAATTTTTTATATTTATTTTGTTTGGGGACAAGCATTCTGACATGAAAAATTCAAAATAACCGGTGCTTTGTACATATTCAATCCCCTTCTCTTTCATATCTTTGTTTGCCAGTTTGCCTTAAGCATATCACTTTCTCCAATCATCATTAGTCAGCTCAGTGTGAAAATTGTCATAACCCTTGGCCGGATGAGGCGAACCAAGGTGAGTTATGGAGTTTTGGTTTTTTTTTTTTCTTGTAAATCCAAAAGATCTAATAATGTAAGTTTCATCTATGTTTTCTGGAAGAGTTTCTGATCATCAAAACTGGTAACTGCAGCCTAAAATCAATTGGATGGACGAGGATTTGGACAATTGGCACAGTGTGAGTTTCATCTGTATTTGCTGTCATTTTAGTATTATATCATAGAATCCCATCTTGTGCATTCACTGTTTGATGATTGATGAAATGAAATGATCATTAAGTTTCTATCTACTCCTTATGGAGCTCATTGTAATCATAAAAAAAAAAGCAACTGATGATAGGCCTTTGAGGAGTGCCTCTGCCACTGTTGTCAGACTTGGATTGGACACAACCATTTTGGTCACTAGGTCATGGGTTGAATGGTCTGACCATCCATCAACCATTTGACTCAAATAAGAAAATGGAAAAATTAAAAGAAAACTAGTAAATTAGATTATCTAAAGTTACTTTGCATTAAAAATCTTAAAATAATTAATATCATAGGTTATAACATGTATTAACACAGGTATTTGAGGTAGATTTAGTCAAGTCAACATTTTTAATACTCAGGCAGGCAGCCTGAAAACCATTTTGGTTGCTGGTTCCTAGTTCTGATGGTCTGACCTTCAGTCTGATCCAATTTTTGACAGACACTGGTCTCTGCTGAAGTTAACATGATTTTGTTTCCTTGATTTCTTTGATAAGGGCACCTTAAAGCCAAAATTTATTTCCATGTAGGGTTCTCAGAAATTGTATAGTAGAATCCTTCGATTTAAATGCTTGTATCCTTTGAATGCATAATTCCATGATCCTACTAGTCATAGAAAGAGTCACTCCTGGATTTGTAGAAACGAATTTGTTTCTAATGTAAACATTCTCATAATGAATTTAGAGCAGTGTCCCTTATTTGAGGGTTGCCCCTTGTTAGAGCTAGCCGAATAAGGGTAGATTTGTCATTTTATTTCTGTTAAGTTATGTGCTTATGTGGCAGTTTTGATAGAGACTTCCTGTCCCATACTTAAGTGGGGGGGTAGTTTAGTCTTTATACAACTAATTAGAGGCTAATTCATATTAGGGTCGACTGATAGGGTTTATGCTATCAGATTCGACTGTTCCTTTTCTTCTTCTTCTTCTTGTTCCTCCTCCTCTGGTTCGAACTGCTAAAGCAACTGAGATAACATGGTATTAGAGCAAGACGTTGCTCTTTAAATCTCTGCTCGTGACTACTGCTCCTTTCTGTTCGTGACTTCTTTTTCTTCTCTCTGGACTGCAAATGGAGAACATAGACTCGACCTAAGTTTGAGAACACTTCGGCTTCTCTTTCTCTGCTCAGAACTTGGTTGCCTTTCAAGAGAATAACTCCAGAAATAAGTGAATGGTCGACTGAAGCTCTCCATCAAGGTTGGTTATCCTTTTTTTGTGTTGTTGGTGTTTCTGGGTTGGAAAACCCTCAAARATCTGYTCGGACTGATCAGAACTTAAAGAACTAGGTTATTTGTAGCCTTGGTTCTTGGCAAAAGGCCCAAGAACAGGYTGTGTTTAYAGTGACCGAATGGTGTAAGGGTTACTGTAGTGGTTGTAGTTGATGTCTTTGGACTGGTAGTGACCTTTAAAAAAAGAAAATGGGTCAGACAGATCTGTACCATGTGGGACAGAGATGGTTGTGTGGTGATGCTTTTGATGCTCACCCCCTCAAGAGGTCTTGTATGTGGTTAGTAAATTGCTGAATTACTGTAGTGGTGATTTATGCCTCTGTATAATCAGTAGTGGTGTGAGCAAGAACAAAAGTTGTTTTTTTTGGGCTGGAAGGAATAGCCGAATTGCCTACATCAATTTTCTGCCTTGATGGTGTTGTCTGAATGTTGGTTTAATCTGGGTGGTAGTTTGTGCACAGTGGTGACTGATTGTGACTTGTGAACCTATCACCTGAGTTTAGAGGCTGCTGTAGTATTTGGTTGGTGACTGAGAGTTCAGCACTAGAGATAGCAGTGGGGGAGACATAATGGCAGCAACTGGAGATGGTTCTAGTGATCAGAAACCGAGTGTGATGATCCCCTCCGATTATTTGGGTGTGCAGATGACCTCCATTAAACTTAATGGTGAGAATTATGTGCCATGGGCCAAGTCAGTGGAAGTTTTTCTCAAGGCAAAGAGGAAAGTGAAACACGTGAAGGAAGATAAACCATCAGCTGACTCTCCAGGGTTTGATGACTGGGAACAGGAAGATGCCCAAATCATGACAAGTAAGGACATATGGAACATGCCAAGAAGCTTTATTTTGGGCAGGATAATACTACAAGGGCATATTAGCTCTATCAGGAGTATTTCGATCTACAGCAAGGGAATAAAACCCTAGAAGAGTACTATGCCGGTATGAAGAACCTCAGAAATGAACTCAATGTCTATCATCCCCTCACTCCAGATGTTAAGGTTCAGCAACAACAGAGGGAACAACTAGATGTCACTAGGTTTTTAGTGGGGTTGAAATGAGAATATGAACCAGTTAGGGCCCAAACATTGGAAGGCTCTACTCTTCCTACACTTGAGGAAGTTTTTGCACGGCTTCGTAGGATTTCTTTGGGATCTACAGAGAATCCCACACAGTTTAACAGATCAGCATTTGTGATAGCCAGAGGAGGTGGACGTGGTACTAGAGGGGGAGGACATGCCTCCTGAGGAGGTCGTGGTGGTTCCGTATTTGGCCATGGTGGTGGTTGTGACTCAGGGGGAGGCCATGGTAAAGGAAAAAGTAACTCTACAAGGAAGTGTACCCATTGTGGCAGGGGCGGACATTCGGTGAATTTCTGTTATGATCTCCATGGCCCTCCTTCTACATGGGCTAATCATGCAGTAGTTGGTGGGGTTGATGTCAGTGATAATCAATAGGCTGATCTAATACCTTCTACATTTACATCTGTTTCTGGGAAGGAGATGGTGAGTGTACCGCGCGATGAGTATGTGAGGTTCCTCCAGGCTACTTCACAGCATACTACAACCACCCTTGCCCACTCAGGTATAGCTTGTCTGGCATCCAAACCCTCTCCCTAGATTATTGACTCTGGAGCCTCTGATCACATGACCGGGACTCCAGGTGTGTTCTCTTTCCTTTCTGAAACTTCCACATCTCAAACTGTTACCCTTGCCAATGGTTCCTCTTCTCCCATCTGTGGTGTTGGTAATGTTGACACGGCTTCTCTTTCTTTATCATCTATTCTATATGTCCCTAAGTTTCCATTCAATCTTATGTCTGTTAGTAAATTAACCAAGACTCTTAATTGCTCTAATACATTTTTCCCTTCATTTTGTGTTTTTCAGGATTTCAAGACGGGGAAGAAGATTAGTGGGGGGCATGAGGCTGGTGGATTGTATTACCTTGACGGTGGTGGATCATCAATTGCACTTCAGACTTCACTCACTCCTCTACAGTGGCATTGTTGACTGGGACATCCATCTCTCAAGGCACTCAAGATACTGGTTCTGTCTTTGAGTCATTTGTTGTCTTTACAGTGTGAGTCGTGTCAATTTGGGAAACATCGTTGGGTTCCCTTCAGTCCTAGAGTTGATAGTCGTATGTTGAGTCCTTTTGCTTTGGTTCATTCAGATGTTTGGGGTCCGATTAAAATAGTCTTATAATGGTTACGAGTATTTTGTCACTTTTATTGATGATTGTTCAAGGATGACATGGATTTATTT